CTCATCATGTTGGTCTTTGTCGTTATGTTTATGATCTTCTGGGCGAGTTGGAACTGGGAAAGTCAATTCCTTTTGTGTTTTTGAACGCTTGGCTAATACAGTACTGTAAATTTGATTCAGATTGCTTGCCAAACGCCTTTGTGGTTTCCCGGACAGTAGGGGGCGATGTGAATTAAGGACGTCCAATTCAACAAGAAGAAGAAGAACAACAAGCACAAGAACGGGACCACATCCGGTTCAATGAGCAAGTTTTTCCGCTCTCCACAAGTGCTGTTCTCAGTGAGTAATTTTAACATTTTAAACTGACTTCGCCGCTTATCTCTGAGTGTATAGATGTAGACAATTGGGGAGCGTTATTAATAAGACACGTTGCTCCTCTAATTTTGTTGTTGTGACTCAGTTTTTCCGCTCTCCACAAGTGCTGTTCTCAGTGAGTAATTTTAACATTTTAAACTGACTTCGCCGCTTATCTCTGAGTGTATAGATGTAGACAATTGGGGAGCGTTATTAATAAGACACGTTGCTCCTCTAATTTTGTTGTTGTGACTCACTAAGTCACTGGAAGTTATCGTCAAAAACAACGTCAGCAAAGGGGGCAGTGAGCGAGCACGCTGCCGACAAGTATACCTCAGCTGTCAATCAATCAAAAGGTAATCGAGAAGAGCGTTTGACTTGAATGCTATTTTGTATGTTTTCCAGACCACAGCTGCTGTCGAACAGTGGAAGTGTGAAGGCTTCACATCAGGGGGCAGATTTGTTTCAAAACTATTCACGCAAATGCATCCGTGACTTTGTTCACTTGTTTTACGGAATATATTTGTGATTTTCAAAAACTAAATCCTACATTTCAAGGAATATGTGTTGATAATATCCACAGATATACTCGTAATTTTCACACGTGTTTTCGTGTCCTCAAATCCATTCACGATTTTCAAGTGGTTTTTTTTTCGACGTGGCGTGTTAATTTCTCATGATTTTTAGATCCCATCTTCGTCCGCTAGGCGGCAGTGTTGCTGTCTCCAATTCACGGGAACGACCTCTACCTCCGATTTCGTTTCAAACTTGGAAATTCAAAAAATGAAAAAGGACTTTTAATAATTTGTTGATTTAACACAACTCTGGAAAAAAAACACGACCGTAATTTGTTTCCCTCGAGCTTGTTTTGCTTTGACACGAAGATGTACTTTTTCTTCCGTTGGTCTGCTGCTGCGACGCCGTAGAAGATGATGTGGTAGCAGCACATTGTGAATGTTCTCCGTGTCAAGGCTAAACAAGCTCGAGTTAAACAAGCTACAGCCGAATTGTGTTTCCCGACTTTGATGCAACAGAGTAGGCATATCGCAATTCCTTTTCTTTTGTGGATGGTTGAACGAAATTGAGTATTTTCAAGAGTTGAGCAGTTGATTGAAAGGAGGTTGCTCATTGTACTTGAGGTGTGGAGAGAGAGCCGCGAGCGGATCGCTCAGACAGATGCATTGCGAGTGTGGGCACGTTTGGAAATGGATGGGTTGAAAGTAAAAGTCTGCCACTTCACAAATAATTACTCAAATTAAAAAAAGAATCAAAAGAAACAACATTTTTATAGACTAAAGTGTGTGACTTTCCACTTTTGTTTTTTTTCTGCCTGACCATATTAGTCAGATGACTGGCCCAAAGGTGCAGCCGCCAGACTCGGAAGGTGCAAGCTGCATTTGGACACGTGTGAGTACTGAGTTGCGTGGTGTGCTTGAAGAGCTGATGTCTGATGTCACGTTGCACCACAAGGTGGAGGTGAGTGCGCCCGCCTGTCTCTCACTCAACTTAAACTTTTGCTTCGTGTACTGCACAACAGTGTCAACTACACATCGACAACCCGAACACATGATCAAGCAGGACATGCTCATGTCCCCCTTGGTGTGTCATGAGATGTCAGTGACCTCACGCGTGAGCTGGTCAAGCACATGCTCCCATCTCGGGCCTGCCGTCAGTGTTTGTGTGTGTGCAACTTGAACTGTCCCACACAAAGATTGACTGGTCAAATGCTTTTACATTGTCATGTTTGCTTTTCTGTCCAATAAATTGTTCAACTTCAATCTGAGTCTTTGCCTTAATGACTAAATCCATCCTCATCTCACTCGAAGCCTTTTCAAAGACTGACGTCTTGAGCTCAGACTTGCGCTTCAGTCACATCAGACAGTCTTTTCACTGTTCCCGTTGGTCTCCACATGACTCGAAACTCCAGGAATCGAGCTTTTGGATCATGTGACACCGAAGGGAACAGTGAAAAGACTGATGTGTCTGATGTGACCCAAGTGCAACTTTGAAAAAGTGCTGCAATCCGCCCCAAACCACACCCAATTTGACATCCACCAATTGCAGTGAGGCCCGAATTTGCATAACTTAAAACCCTGATTTGCATAACCGTGCCCACTTCCCAAACCACACCCAATTTGGCATCCACCAATCGTGACGAAGCCCTAATTTGCATATATTTGCATAACCAATCAGAATAGATCAATTTACATAACCACGCCCTCTTTCCCTGGATCCGACCAATCAAATCGCTCTAAATTTGCATAGCCACGCCCCCTAAGGCTCGCTCCAATCAGAGGAGACCTCATTTGCGTAACAACGCCCCCTTTTCCACCAATCGCAGAACGTTATCGTCACGCTCCACCCACTTTCACGGCTATCAGCGAATCATCGGCCATCATTCCAGCCAGGCCACACCCACTTTCCTGGAATTTTCTGGCTGGGGGGGGGGAAAAAAATTCCAGGAAAAAAATTTTGAAAAAAAATTTTTGAAAAAAAGTTTAGAAAATAATTTTTGAAAAAAAGTTTAGAAAATAATTTGTTGTTTTTAAAAATGTTTTTTTAAAGTTACATTGTGGTGATGTGTTTAAAAATGAAGTTGAGAGTTTAAGTGTTCTTTGTAATCAAGCTTTATTTCTTTTGCAGAGAAGACAATCACAATGATGGTGCATTGAACGAGTGTAAATGTCTCCTACTTTTCAGGCTGGCCCAAAATTTGACTTCAGCACCTTGCGAATAACGGGAAGAAGAGCAAAAAGTGTTGGCTGCAGGTCTGTGCTTGTAGGTCGACTCTGGCGGTGAGCAGGTTACTCCCTCTTGTGGCACAGAGGACCCAAGAACCATCTTCCTTCAACTCTGAAAAACGAAATCCGGCTTATTGAAATAAGACTTCTTTTCCAGCAGGTGGCTCAGTCACGTTTCACTTCATCGCACTCCAACAGCTCCATCTGAAAGACAAAGCACAGATCGGTAGACACCAATGACAAACCAGAAACGCAGTTTCGTTGTACTCTGGTCCTCATTTTTCAACTTGCTTCCCAAGTGTTGATTAACTGGAGACTGGAACCTTTTGCTGTGACAGTTGCTCAAGCTGCTACTGGTCCAGTGACTCATCCAAGGTGGTCAAACTTGCCAACACCACAAACGAGAGACCCCCCCTCACTCTTATTTCGTACCTTTCAACGGCAACGTTGCAAATGGAGGCAGCAGTGAGGATGGTAGACACCAATGACAAACCAGAAACACAGTTTCGTTGTACTCTGCTCCTCATTTTTCAACTTGCTTCCCAAGTGTTGATTAACTGGAGACTGGAACCTTTTGCTGTGACAGTTGCTCAAGCTGCTACTGGTCCAGTGACTCATCCAAGGTGGTCAAACTTGCCAACACCACAAACGAGAGACCCCCCCTCACTCTTATTTCGTACCTTTCAACGGCAACGTTGCAAATGGAGGCAGCAGTGAGGACCTCCTGCAAGCTTGTCACATTTGTCTCTTTGCCCAGCAGGTGGAGGGTCACTGGAAGCTGCACTGCATGCAGAGTCAAAGAAAAATCTGGTGGGTGTGCTTAACAAAATATGCAGTGCTTTTTGGGTGGAGCTTCAGTCACCAGTCTGCGTGTGTGTGTGACAGCAGGTGGCTCGTGACGCCACGTTTCCTGAGGGCCTGCCGACAAGCAACAGGTCCAAACGTTGAAGAGGGAAGACTCGGATTCACATCGTCGATCGGGTCCTTGATCACCATCTGGTGGACAAACACGCACATGTTGAGCAGGTGCCACTCCGCTGACAGTTTCCTCCATCTCTCTTCCTGGTGCAACACACCTGATTGGATAAGTGAGAGAGGGCCAGAATTAAGAGCCCCGCCACCGTTTGATTTGAGCCACAGGTGCGCCTACTCAACCAGCAGGTCAACGAGCTTCCGGCAATTGGTTGAGGAGTAGCTCCTGTGGTTGAAACCAAACTTTGACATTTCTGGTTTTGACACCTGTGCCCAATCTTTCGGAAATCACATGCTGATTCAATTACGAGTCGTCACACGTGTGTAAAAGGGTTTGCTTCACTTGTGAAAAGAGCTGGACGCCTCTTCGACAGCGCGGTGGCCTGAAAGACACAGTAACGTAAGCTCTTCACTTTTAAATATTCAACCTTCCAAGTGCCTGGCTCAGCACCCCGATATTTGGTCGACATTTCGAAGACCTGCCACAGCCTCGTGGAGCCAGGGCCCAAAACGCCACAGGACGGCAGCCATTTTATGGGTCGTTCTGTCGACGTGAGCCTGTGGAGACAGAAATGACAATCAACACATTTCGGGATTTAGTCTGTTGTGCAGCGGTATATTAAAACGTGGCAGTTCTACCGTGTTGCAGTCAATTCGGCCATTCTGTAGCAGATGCGAAGCCTGTGGATAGAAAAAGAGACAAATTAGATGGGCTTGCTCCAAACGGTTCAGGACTTAAATTACACGTTAAAACGCACAGCGAGTGGCCCGTGCTAGTCCATTTGAAGATTTGTACCTGTGAACAGAAAGGATACAATTAACACGCACGCATGCACATTAGTTCGGTTTAATTGTGAGTTTAGAAATGAGTTTTGTCTTCTTACCCTCTCGTCGAACGTCGCTTTTGTCCTAGAAGGTTGGGGGGGAAAAAAAGGTTTTGTTGCAAAGTAAGTTCGCAGGAGACGCTGATTGCTCACGCTCGAGCAAACTTTTTGCTTAGCATGTTAACCAGGTGCGTGCACGTCTAAAGTGCTGCTTTCCATTCAAAGTGGGAGCCAAAGCGGTGTGTTTTAAGAGGCTATTAAAGAGTAAAAAAAAAAGTCACCTTGTTTGAGTTTACCTGGTCTTCTGGACGGGCGTGCAGAGCAGGAGCAGCATGAGGACGAGCGGAGGCTGTCGAAGGTGAGAAAGAATGAGTGCCTCGATGGCCCGGCTTAAATAGGCTTCCGCCGATGACGTCACTTCCGGAAAGAAAAAAAACTTAATTTGAAACAGGAAGTGAGAGCGAAGCTCTTGTGTTGAAAGAAACTGAGCGAAATGATGAAGGCTTTGCCTAAGGGCGGAAACGGGACTCGAACTTGAGTTCACCAGTGGAGAATCCCTGTCACATACCACTGGACTGTCCTTCCACACCGACGTCGACCACTAATACCTCTATCTATTGTAATTCCATAGTCCCGTTACATTAGGTCTATAAATATTATCACCCGAAAAGTTTGATCAGTGATTTAGCGTGGTCGAATGGATAACGACAATACTTGGTACCCGGGAAAACCGGGTTCGATTCTTGCTTAATTTATAAATAGAGCACATGGTGGGTCTCGAACTCGGTTCGCCTGACCACTACTCGATGTCTTTTACCATTAGGCCATTCTGGCGCGAAAATTTCGAAATTTTTACATGTAATCATAGGGCGTCCGTCTTAAGATGTGGAGACGGTCAAAAAATGAACATGTTTGGTGAGACGCTTGGCATCTCTCGTGGAGTGTTCGCTTCTGGTTCAAACTTCTCACTTCGCCCCTGAACGAGGAGACGGGAAACACCAGTTCGACTCTTGCTAAATTTATAAACGGAGAGCAGATGGAGGTTCGAACTCATTCCGCCTGCCTACCCAGCGATGTCTTTTACCATCAGGCCATCCCGGGACGAACATTTCGCAATTTTTATATGTAGTCGAAGGCGGCCGACCACGAGTTGATTTTTATTTTTTTGAAGGAAAAAAAAAACATAATTGGTGAGACGGTTGGCGTCTCTCGTGGGGTGGTCACTGATGGGACGAGCTTCGCCTTTGGGCGACGTGACGGCACTCCAACCTCACCCATCACCCCTCGACCACGCCAGTATTTCCGACCGCTGCCTGCCTTCAGAACGCCATCCTGAGATCAGGAGAGAGTTTGCAAAGCCAACTCCGTTTTCGATTAAAGACGAGTTGCACAAAGAGATCGTGTCATTTTGTTATTTTGCTTTCTTGGCGATCGTGAATAAAGTGCAAATAAAACACCCATACGCACACTTCCAAACGTGCAAACCAACTTTATTCATTGTTTCAAGATGCTTTGTAGATCAGGGCATCTCCGCTGGAAAAGTTGAGACGCAAGTCTCGTCTGGATGCTTGCGGGGTGCTCTCTGCTGGTCCCAACGGGGCCGGGGGCTGAAGAACCTGCAAAACCCAAAGGATCGCAGTGAAATCAAACTTCCTTTCATATTGGGGAGGAAACATCGGATGACTTTCTGAGGGCCCCCATAACTTTTCCCCCTCAAAGTATTCGCCGTATATCGATCAACATGCCCCACCCCACCACCACCACCACTACTTCCAAAACAAAGTTTACCCAACTACGACAATGCGTCAATGGGAGGCTTGTGTGTCGGCGGGCGGGGGGCGACGTCCTGACCGTCCGGCAGAGGATCATTTACCAAAATTCTGCCAACCGCTTGATGACAGCTGTTATGAAAGCGCTGATGTATAAAATTACCACACGCTATTTTTTTCTGAACATGCTCAAAATTTCTTTGTGGTGTTGAGCTGCTGGAGGGGAGGTGAGCTGTTCGGAGCTGGTCGTGTCGTAGCCTCGCTGGTCGTGTTGTCCCCTCCTTGCTCCGAGGACACCTGCATGAACTGCAGCAGAATGCGGTCAACTCCCAGCCCCTGCGCCACCAGGAGCAGCCTGTCACAGCCGGACAGTCTCACAAACATTTCAGTCTCAAACTCCAGCAGAGGGCTCGCCATTGGCAAGGGGAAACAATCAACCCGATTTCGATTTTCCAATACCAGCTAACAGCAGTAAGAATCATTGCATAATAATCATTGTCAAATTCTACCGCAAACTCGGAAGAGGCTCGCGCCCGTCGTCGACGGTGTTAACGCTTAAAAACAAACAAAACAACACAACAAAAGGTCTGAACGAAACGTAAGGGCGCCGTCTACTGGTGCCCAATAGGAACGACAAACCTTCGACTGAAGTGGCTCTCAACTTTTCAAGTACAGTCCCACCGAAAAAAATACAACTCTCTGGGCAACTTTCTCAGGTGCTGTCTCACCATGTTGGTCTTTGTCGCTGTGTTTATGATCCTCTGGATGAGTTGGAACTGGGAAAGTCAATTCCTTTTGTGTTTTTTTGCACGCTTGGCTAATACTGTAAATTAGATTCAGATTGCTTGCCAAACGCCTTTGTGGTTCCCCGGACAGTAGGGGGCGATATGAACTAAGGACGTCTAATTCACCAAGAAGAAGAAGAAGTACTAGCACAAGAACGCTACCACATCCGGTTCAATGAGCAAGTTTTTCCGCTGTCCACAAGCCCTGTTCTCAGTGAGTAATTTTAACATTTTAAACTGACTTCGCCGTTTATCTCTGAGTGAATAGATGTAGACAATTAGGGAGCGTTATTAAGACACGTTGCTCCTCTAATTTTGAAGTGATCGAAAAAACAACGTCAGCAAAGGGGGCAGTGAGTGAGCACGCCGCCGACAAGTATACCTCAGCTGTCAATCAATCAAAAGGCAATCGAGAAGAGCGTTTGACTTGAATGCTATTTTGTATGTTTTCCAGACCACAGCTGCTGTCGAACAGTGGAAGTGTGAAGGCTTCACATCAGGGGGCAGATTTGTTTCAAAACTATTCACGCAAATGCATCCGTGACTTTGTTCACTTGTTTTTCGGAATATATTTGTGATTTTCAAAAACTAAATCCTACATTTCAAGGAATATTTGTTGATAATATCCACAGATATACTCGTAATTTTCACACGTGTTTTCGTGTCCTCAAATCCATTCACGATTTTCAAGTGGTTTTTTTTTCGACGTGGCGTGTTAATTTCTCATGATTTTTAGATCCCATCTTCGTCCGCTAGGCGGCAGTGTTGCTGTCTCCAATTCGCGGGAACGACCTCTACCTCCGATTTCGTTTCAAACTTGGAAATTCATAAAAGGAAAACGAACTTTTAATTTGTTGATTTAACACAACTCTGGAAAAAAAAACACGACCGTAATTTGTTTCCCTCGAGCTTGTTTTGCTTTGACACGAAGATGTACTTTTTCTTCCGTTGGTCTGCTGCTGCGACGCCGTAGAAGATGATGTGGTAGCAGCACATTGTGAATGTTCTCCGTGTCAAGGCTAAACAAGCTCGAGTTAAACAAGCTACAGCCGAATTGTGTTTCCCGACTTTGATGCAACAGAGTAGGCATATCGCAATTCCTTTTCTTTTGTGGATGGTTGAACGAAATTGAGTATTTTCAAGAGTTGAGCAGTTGATTGAAAGGAGGTTGCTCATTGTACTTGAGGTGTGGAGAGAGAGCCGCGAGCGGATCGCTCAGACAGATGCATTGCGAGTGTGGGCACGTTTGGAAATGGATGGGTTGAAAGTAAAAGTCTGCCACTTCACAAATAATTACTCAAATTAAAAAAAGAATCAAAAGAAACAACATTTTTATAGACTAAAGTGTGTGACTTTCCACTTTTGTTTTTTTTCTGCCTGACCATATTAGTCAGATGACTGGCCCAAAGGTGCAGCCGCCAGACTCGGAAGGTGCAAGCTGCATTTGGACACGTGTGAGTACTGAGTTGCGTGGTGTGCTTGAAGAGCTGATGTCTGATGTCACGTTGCACCACAAGGTGGAGGTGAGTGCGCCCGCCTGTCTCTCACTCAACTTAAACTTTTGCTTCGTGTACTGCACAACAGTGTCAACTACACATCGACAACCCGAACACATGATCAAGCACTTCTACAATATGTTTTTAAACCTTGAGGTGGACCAAGTTAGTATATATATATATATATATAGGTGCTCATGTCCCCCTTGGTGTGTCATGAGATGTAAGTGACATCACATTTGAGCTGGTCAAGCACATGCTCCCATCTCGGGCCTGTCGTCAGTGTTTGTGTGCCTGCAACTTGAACTGGCCCACACAAAGATTGACTGGTCAAATGCTTTTACATTGTCATGTTTGCTTTTCTGTCCAATAAATTGTTCAACTTGAATCTGAGTCTTTGCCTTTCATAACGAAATCCATCCTCAACTCACTCGAAGCCTTGTCAAAGACTGACGTCTTGAGCTCAGACTTGCGCTTCAGTCACATCAGACAGTCTTTTCACTGTTCCCGTTGGTCTCCACATGACTCGAAACTCCAGGAATCGAGCTTTTGGGTCATGTGAAACCCATGGGAACAGTGACAGACTGTCTGATGTGACCCAAGTGCAAGTCTGAGCTCAAGACTCAAGTGGAATTTTGACAAAGTGCTCCAATGCCCGCCCCAAACCACACCCAATTTGGCATCCACCAATCGCGGTGAAGCCCTAATTTGCATAAATTTGCATAACCAATCAAAACGGGACAATTTACATAACCACGCCCACTTTCCAGGATCCGACCAATCGAATCGCACCTGATTTGCATAACCACGCCCCCTGGACGCACCCACCAATCGGAGAAGACCTCATTAGCATAACCACGCCCCCTTTCCCACCAATCGCGGCACGTTATCGTCACGCTCCACCCACTTTCACAGCTGTCAGCGAATCATCAGCTATCATTCCAGCCAGGCCACACCCACTTTCCTGGATTTTTTTTTCTCTGCCTGGAAAAAAAAATCCAGGAAAAAAATTTTTGGAAAAAAAAATTTTTGAAAAAAATTTTGAAAAAAAATTTAGAAAAAACTTGAAAAAAAACTGAAAATAATTTTGATTGTTTTTAAAAATGTTTTTTTAAAGTTAGATTGTGGTGATGTGTTTAAAAATGAAGTTGAGAGTTCAAGTGTTCTTTGTAATCAAGCTTTATTTCTTTTGCAGAGTACACAATCAAAGCAGATGAAAAAGTTGCAAGTTGGATGGCAGTCTGCTTGTTGCTGGGCAGCGAAGTGGTCGGCTCTTGAGAAGAACGTGGGACAGGTGTGTTGACCTGAGAGGAAAGACATCCGTGAGTTACACGCAAGTCAATTTCTCGTGCAGACAATGATGTGTTAGGCATGAAACTTACCAGAGTCAGTGTTGGGTCTTTGGAGAGCAGGAAGCCGATCATGTTTACTGCTGCCTAGAGAAAGAAAAGGGGGGGTCAAAAAAGTCGTCATGATGGTGCATTGAACGAGTGTAAATGTCTCCTACTTTTCAGGCTGGCCCAAAGTTTGACTTCAGCACCTTGCGAATAACAGGAAGAAGAGCAAAAAGTGTTGCCTGCAGGTCTGTGCTCATAGGTGGACTCTGCCAGTGAGCAGGTTACTCCCTCTTGTGGCACGGAGGACCCAAGAACAATCTTCCTTCAACTCTCAAAAATGAAATCCGGCTTATTGAAATGAGACTTCTTACCCAGCAGATGGCTCAGAGTCACGTTTCACCTCATCACACTCCAACAGCTCCATCTGAAAGACAAAGCACAGATCGGTAGACACCATTTACAAACCACAAATGCAGTTCCGTTGACTCTGCTGCTCATTTTTCAACTTGCTTCCCAAGTGTTGATTAATTGGAGACTGGAACCTTTTGCTGCGACAGTTGCTCAAGCTGCTTCTGGTCCAGTGACTCATCCAAGGTGGTCAAACCTGCCAACACCACAAACGAGAGACCCCTCACTCTTAATTCGTACCTTTCAACGGCAACGTTGCAAATGGGGGCAGCAGTGAGGACCTTCTGCAAGCTTGTCGCATTTGTCCCTTTGTCCAGCAGGTGGCGGGTCACTTGAAGCTACACTGCATGCAGAGTCAAAGAAAAAGCAGGCGAGTGTGCTTAACAAAATATGCAGTGCTTTTTGGGTGGAGCTTTAGTCACCAGTCTGCACATGTGCGTGACCTCAGGTGGATGTGACGCCACGTTTCCTGAGGGCCTGCCGACAAGCAACAGGTCCAAACGTTGAGGAGGGAAGACTGGCTTCACAACATCTATTGGGTCCTTGAGCACCATCTGGTGGACAAAAGCAGGAGAAACACGCACATGTTGAGCAGGTGCCACTCTGCTGACAGTTTCCTCCCTCTCTCTCCCTTGTGCAACGCACCTGATTGGATAAGTGGGAGAGGGCCAGAATTAAGACCCCGGCCACGGTTTGATTTGAGCCACAGGTGCGCCTACTCAACCAGCGGGTCAACGAGCTCCCCGGGAGTTGGTTGAGGAGTAGCTCCTGTGGTTGAAGCCAAACATTTTGACATTTCTGGTTTTGACACCTGTGCCCAATATTTAGTAAAGCACATGCTAATTTAATGAAGAGTCGTCACACGTGTATAAAAGGGTTTGCTTCACTTGTGAAAAGAGCTGGACACCTCTTGGCCTGAAAGACACGGTAACGTAAGCTCTTGACTTTTAAATATTCAACCTTCCAAGTGCCTGGCTCAGCACCCCGATATTTGGTCGACATGTCAAAGACCTGCCACAGCCTCGTTAAGCCGGGGCCCAAAAATCCACAGGACGGCAGCCATTTTATGGGTCGTTCTGTCGACGTAAGCCTGTAGAGACAGAAATGACAATCGACACATTTGGGATTTAGTCTGTCGTGCGGCGGTATCTTAAAATGTGGCAGTTCTACCGTGTTGCAGTCAATTCGGCCATTCTGTAGAAGATGCAGAGTCTGTGGATAGAAAAGAGACAAATTAGATGGGCTTGCTCCAAACGATTCAGGGCTTACATTCCACATTAAAACGCACAGCGAGTGGCCCGTGTTAGATTCCATTTGAAGACTGGTTCCTGCGAACAGAAATGACACAATTAGCACGCACATAGGCACAATACTTTGCTTTGATTGTGAATTTAGAAAATGAGTTTTGTCTACTTACCCATTCGGCGAAACGCCGCTTTCGTCCTAGGATGTTGGAAAAAAAGGCTTTGTTGCAACGTGAGGTCGCAGGAGATATTGATTGCTAACGCTCGAGCAAACGTTTTTGCTGAGCACGATCGCCAGGTACCAGCATGTCTAAAGTGTTGCTTTGCTTTCCATTCATATTGAGCGAAAGCCGTGTGTTTTCAGAGGCTATTTAAAGAATAAAAAGTCACCTTTTTGGAGTTTTCCGTGTGGATAGGCGTGCGGAGCAGGAGCAGCGTGGAGACGAGGACAAGCGGAGGCTGTCGAAGGTGAGACAGAACGATTGCCTCGTCGGCCCGCCTTAAATAGGTTTCCGTTGATGACGTCACTTCCGGAAATAAAATAAAAACTTTTAATTTGAAACAGGAAGTGAGTGTGAGGATATTGTGTGGAAAAAAAACGGAGTCAAATGTTCAAGGCACCACCCGGACTCGAACTTGAGTTCACCAGGTGGGAATTACTGTCGTCCACCACTGGACTGTCCTTCCATGGTGACGTCAGCTACTTCTACCTTTATTTATGGTCATCAAATAGTACCGTTGAAGAATGTAATTGTATAAATACAACCACCCGAAACCTTTTCCCAGCAATCTAGCGTAGTCGAAAGCGTAACGACGTGACGTTTCCCCCGGAGATCCCGGGTTCGATTCTTGCTAAATTTATAAATAGAGCACATGGTGGGGCTCGAACTCGGTTCGCCTGATTACTGTCCAATGTCTTACCATTCGGCCATCGTGCCGCGAAAATTTCGAAATTTTTACATGTAATCATGGGGAATCAGCCAGCCACACGCGTGTTCAGAGGTTAGAAAAGGAACATGTTTGGTGAGACGCTTTGGCAACCCTCCTGGGATGTTCGTTTCTGGTACTAATTTCGCCCTTGGACGAGGTGACGGGAAACCCAGGTTCGACTCTTGCTAAATTTATATAAAACGGAGCACGTGGTGGGGCTCGAACTCGGTTCGCCTGAGTATCTTTCAACGTGTTTTACCATTCAGCCATTCTGGCAGGTAAATCTCACATTTTTTGCATGTAATCATGGGGCATCAGACAGCCACACCAGCGTGTTCAGAAGTTAGAAAAGGAACATGTTTGGTGAGACGCTTTGGCAACTCTCGTGGGGTGATCGCTTCTGGTCCTAATTTCGCCCTTGGACGAGGTGACGGGAAACCCTGGTTCGACTCTTGCTAAATTTATAAATAGAAAGCAGATGGGACAGGGTACGAACTCGGTTCGGCTGCCAACCCAGC